CCTCATTGAATAGTTAAATGTATGGACTGATAATCCAGAGGACCCAAGTTCAGGTCCAGCCATACAAGTTAGTTGGCTCCTAACTGTAATTCCAGCTGCTGAGGATCCAGGTCCTCCTGGCCTTCCCTGTCAGGCTATCCTCCCACTCTCCATCACAGGCCTTCCCTGTCAGGCTATCCTCAGACTCTCCGGCACAAACCCTGCCTCTTTTGTCCTTCCTCCCATTTTTTAAAATCTGCATGAGTATTTTGCCTCCATGCATGTATTGCAGCATGTGCATGCTTAGGGCATAGGAAGATCAGAAGAGGATTTCAGAGCCCCTGGAACTGCAGTCACAGACAGTAGTGAGCCTCCATGTGTGCTAGGAACCCAAACCAGGTTCTCTGAAAGAACAAGTACTCTTAACAAACAGCTTAGCCATCGCCCCAGCCTTTGTTTGTTAGTTGGTTTGTTTGCTTGTTTGTTTTGTTTTTTTCAATACAGGGTTTCTCTGTGTAGCCCTACCTGTCCTGGAGCTGTAGACCAAGCTGACCTAGAATTTACCAGGCCTGCCTCTGTCTCCTGGGTGCTGGGATTAGAGGTGTATGCCACCATCCCTGACCCCAAATGTATTTTTATGTGTGAATAGTTTGCATGTATGTCTGCATGACACCAGTATGCAGTGCCCGCAGAGGCCAGAAGTGAGGACGTGAGATCCCCTGGAGTGGATTACAGACATTTATGAGCCATGATATCAAGAACTGGGAACTGTGTCCTCTGCAGGAGCAGTCAGTGCTCTTAACTGCTAAGCCCTCTCTCCAGCCCCTACTAAAAATATTTTAATATAGCTTTAAGCACGAGTTAGAGCAAGATGTGCTCAGAAGTAAGTATGGCGTCCTTGAGAGCACAGAGCAAGCTTCTCAAAGGAGAGCCACTGCTCAATTCAATATTAGTCATATATAAGGGTGTTGTTGTTGATGTTGTTGTTGTTGTTTTGGGGTTTTCAAGACAAGGTTTGTCTGTGTAGACCTGGCTGTCCTGGAATTTACTCTGTAGACCAGGCTGATCTCAGACTCAGAGATCTGCCTGCCTCTGCCTCCCCAAGTGTTGGGATTTAAGGCTTGTACATCTGTCCATAAAGAGTTGTTTGGTTGGTTGTTTGGTTGGTTGTTTGGTTGGTTGTTTGGTTGGTTGGTTGGTTGTTTGGTTGGTTGGTTGGTTGGTTGGTTTTGGTTGAGACAAGGTTTCTCTCCATAGCCCTGGCTGTCCTGGACTCATTTTGTAGACCAAGCTAGCATCGAACTTAGGAGATCCTCCTGTCTTTGCCTCCCACGCTGTAGGATTAAAGGTGTTCACCTTTATGTCCAGCAAAAGTGTTTAATTGTGGAAAATTGACAGTAATAGGTGAATTGACTTAAAATATATTTATGAAATGGGGGGTGGAGAAATGGCTCAGCAGTTAAGAGCTTTTCCAGAGGACATAACTGATTTCCAGCATCCACATGACAGGTTACAACCATCTATGACTCTAGTTCCAAGGAATACATAACTCTCTTCCAGCCTCCTTTGGAACCAGGCATGAATGTGACACACATACATACACTTAGACAAAACACTTACACACATAAAGGTAACTCTTAAAATATTGACTATCTATACACTAGAGCAGTTTTTGTTACTGTTCTATTGCTGTGAAGAAACACCATGACCAAGACAGCTTTTATATATATATAAATAATTTAATTGGGCATTTGCTTACAGTATCAGAGGGTTAGTCCATCATCGCCATCATGAGAAGTGTGGAGGCAGGCAGGCACAGTGCTGCAGTGGTAGCTGTGCTTACATCTTATAAGTTGGAGGCAAAGAGAGAGCAAGACGGCCTGGCATGAACTTTTGAAAATTCCAAGCCCACCTCCAATGGCATACCTCCTCCAACAAGGCTATACCTTGCCATCTTAGAGCCAAACATTCAAATAGCCTATGGGAGACATTCTTATTCAAACCACATTACTCAGAAATAAAAATAGATGCTGTAGCCAGGCAATGGTGGCATACATCTTTAATCCCAGCCCTTGGAAGGCAGAGGCAGGCAGATTTCTGAGTTCGAGGCCAGCCTGGTCTACAGAGTGAGTTCCAGGACAGCCAGGGCTACACAGAGAAATCCTGTCTTAACAAACAAACAAACAAACAACAACAACAAAATACATACTGTAGCTGGTCATGGTACACACCTTTAATCCCAGCACTCATAAGGCAGAGGAAAGGTGATCTCTGTAAGTTCAAGACCGGCCTGGTCTACATAGTGAGATCCTGTGTTTAAAAAGCAGGAGCTGGGGCTGGAAAGATGGCTCAGAGGTTAAGAGCACTTCCAGAGGTCCTGGGTTTGGTTCCTAGCACTCACATGGCAGCTCACAACTGTCTTTAATTTCAGTCCTAGGGGGTCCTAAATTTGGGACAAAAGGTACATGCCACCACACCCAGCTAAAAAATAAACTTTAAAAATATTTAGCTGGTCATGGAGGTACAGGCTGGCAGGATTTGCTGAAGAGCCAAAAGCAGGAGTGAGTTCAGCCCAGTCTACATAGCAAATTCCAGGATGGCTGGAATTATATAGAGAGATCCTTTTTAAAAATTAATAAAACGCCGGGCAGTGGTGTCACATGCCTTTAATCCCAGCACTTGGGAGGCAGAGGCAGGCAGATTTCTGAGTTCGAAGCCAGCCTGATCTACAGAGTGAGTTACAGGACAGCCAGGGCTATACAGAGAAACCCTGTCTCGAAAAACCAAAAAAAAGGGCTGGAGAGATGGCTCAGTGGTTAACAGCACTGACTGTTCTTCCAGAGGTCCTGAGTTCAAATCCCAGCAACCACATGGTGGCTCAAAACCATCCGTAATGAGATTGGATGACCTCTTCTGGTGTGTCTGAAGACAGCTACAGTGTACTATTCATAAATAAAATAAATAAATAAATCTTTAAAAAAAAAAAAAAAGAAAAACCAAAAAAAAAAAAAAAGTAATAAACCACAAACCCAACAACAAAAAAACAGGCACGTGACAAGGAAAATGGTTCAAGGAATTGCATCCACTACATTTGTACACTAGATGGCAGCAAAATACAGTCACTTCCTACTCAGTTGGCCAATTAAGTACACAATCTGTGTAAAGGGTTGTTGCACTGTGAGCCCAGCAGTTCTCAAGTTTGTGAAGTAATCAGAGGCAGGAGCTATGACCTGAGCTTCAGAGTCAACAATCCAGGTGGCCAAGAATACTGGAGCACCCGGAAATCCCACTCAAGAGGCTGAGGCACAACTTTAAGTTGACCATCCTGGGTCACATAAGGAGTACCTGTCTGGTGATATCATGGCCCTACCTAAAAAATAAAAATCACATCTTTCAAGATCTCTCCCCAAACGCTTTCTCTACTAATTTCATGTCTTAGTTAGTAGAAGAATGCTATGCTGTTGGCTCTGTACCAATCAGCTTTTGGGCCTGTGGCTGGAGCTAGACATCAAAGGCTTATTTGGGGAAAGCTATTGTTGGAGGGAATATCCTTTATACAGCTAGAGCATGTGGACAGCACACATACAGAATCCAGTGGCTCATCACTGGAACTTCCAAAGTGGAGACCCAAGGACCCAAATCCAGTCACCCAGCCTACACAATGAAAGCTAAGATAAAGCCTCTAGATCTGTGTCTAACCCTTTGGGAAATTTACAAGCCTGCTTTTTGTTCCTTCATTTTGCTCCAATTTGGGCCTCAAAGTGTGAGCCCTACTTCTGCTCTTTTGTCTCTTGATCTCCAATGAAGTCTTATGGCTCACCATGGCAAAGCCTAGCTCTGGAAACAAATTTCTCACATGAGCTAATTCGGAATGGGTCCTTACTGAGGTGTGTGGCAGGGTCTAGTTCAGCTGGTACCAGACTGTAGCACAAGTCAGACTGGTCTGCAGACCTGTCAGCGGCACTTCAGCTGTGAACCTGTCTATATTGCAGGGACACCAAGATGGAGCTCAGAGGCACTGGCTAGGGTTGCCTTGGCAGAAACCATTTTGCTCACCTGAGGACTTGGTTTTAGTCTCAATCTGCTGATGCCCTCTGAACTGGGGCAGATGTCAGCACAGGTGCTCCACCCTGGGATCCAGACCTTCATCAATCCAAGATGTCTCTCGATAGGGTGTGAGGTGTCAGAACAGCAGGAAGGGCACACCCAGGATGGACCACCTGTCCTTAACAGCAGCACTTTAAGCCTGAGAAACCTAAGTGGGTCTTTATTTTTTCAGTTTGTGTAGACCAGGCTTGAACCCAGATATGTCTGCCTGATTAAAAGGTGTACAGCATCATGCCCAGCCAAACTATTGATTCTGAGGGAACGGGAAGCTCTTTTCCTCATCTTGAGTGGTACAAGAGCCCTTTTCCCATTCTTGGGCCATGGCTGAGGACTAGCTTAATCTCTGGAAGCTCAGACCTCCAAACAAATGCAGCTTGTGTGCATGCATGTACACATACACACACACACACACACACACACACACACACACACACACACACACA